TTCCTTCTGCCTACCTTATGTTTATTACCTTTTCCTAACTACTTCAGTTGGATGCTTAGTTCATTTTTTTCATTCCTGTTTAATTTTTTAATTAGTTCCTTATAAGAACTATATTAGGGTTCTATATTAGGTGTCTATATTAGGGTTCTCCAGAGAATCAAAAGCAATAGATATAAAAAGAAATTTATTATAAAGAAATGGCTCATGTGATCACGGATGCTGAGGGGTCCCAAGATCTGCAGACAACAAGAGAGTCAATGGTGAAAGTTCTAATTCAAGTCTAAAGGCAGAAGAAGACCAATGCCCCAGCTCAAAGATGGACCGAGGAAAAAAAACTCTTTTCCTACTCAGCTTTTGTTCTAGTCAGGCCTTCAACAGATTTGACGTGGCCCACCCACACTGGGAAGGCAATCTGCTTTACCCAGCCTACCAATGTTAATCCCATCCAGAAACACCTTCATAGAAACACCCAGAATAATCTTTGACCAAGGATCTGGGCACCCTATGGGCCAGCCCAATTGACAAAAAAATCTCACTATGCTATTTTCTCTGGGCACTGCTTTAACTGTACCTCCTAAGTGCTAATAAGAAATGTTCTGTTATTTTAGAGGTAACCATTCCATCTAGAAAGTGACTTGTGGCTTACCGAAGGAATGTTTTGCCACTAAATTTTGACCAGGTGTAAGTACAATGAATTGTCTTTTCAAATAAGGTTGATCTGATTCTCGAGGCTAATACAAAGGTGAACCAAGGCCTCCTCAAGGCCCAAAAGTTGCTTTGAATAGATTCTCTCAAACTTGAAAAATCATTTATATATCAATGGAACATGCATCTCTTGCCTAGATGAATTTCTTAACAACAAACATGGAGAGTTCCTCTGTTAAATCTCAAATCTAAGAGAGAAAGAAAAAAAGCTACCATCTCTCTCCCATCTAACTGATCATAAATGTTATTAATAAAAATTATAGTAACTACCATAATGTATGTTTCCATATATGCCATCTTTGCTTCCCAGATGGCACAGTGTAAAGAACCCGTCTGCCAGTGCAGAAGACCAAGGAATGCTGTATTTGATCCCTGGGTTGGGAAGATCCCCTGGAGGAGGAAATAGCAGTATTCTTGCCTGGGAAATCCCATGGACACAGGAACCTGGTGGGCTACAGTCCAGTGTCACAAAGATTTGGACATGACTGAGTGACTGAGCACACACACACACACATCATCATCATCATCATCATCTTTATATTAACATATGTCAAACGCCCTCTTCCAAGAACACAAGAGACGACTCTACACATGGACATCACCAGACAGTCAATACCAAAATCAGATTGATTATATTCTTTGCAGCCAAAAATGGAGAAGCTCTATACAATCAGCAAAAACAAGACTGGGAGCTGACTGTGGCTCAGATCATAAATTCCTTAATGCCAAATTCAGACTTAAATTGAAGAAAGTAGGGAAAACCACTAGGCAATTCGGGTATGACCTAAATCAAATCCCTTATGATTATACAGAGGAAGTGACAAATAGATTCAAGGGTTTAGATCTGATAGAGAACCTGAAGAACTATGGACAGAGGTTCATGACATTGTACAGGGGGCAGTGATCAAGACCATCCTCAAGAAAAAGAAAAGCAAAATGGTTGACCAAGGAGGCCTTACAAATAGCTGAGAAAAGAAAAGACACTAAAGGCAAAGGAGAAAAGAAAAGATATATATACCCATCTGAATGCAGAGTTCCAAAGAATAGCAGGAAGAGATAAGAAAGCCTTCCTCAGTGATCAGTACAAAGAAATAGAGGAAAATAATAGAATGGGAAAGACTAGAGATCTCTTCAAGAAAATTAGAGATACCAAGGGAACATTTCATGCAAAGATGGGCACAAAAAGGACAGAAATGGTATGTATGGACCTAACAGAAGCAGAAGATATTAAGAAGAGGTGACAAGAATACACAGAAGAACTGTACAAAAAAGATCTTCACGACCCAGATAACCACGATGATCACTCACCTAGAGCCAGACATCCTGGAATGAGAAGTCAAGTGGACCTTAGGAAACATCACTACAAACAAAGCTAGTGGAGGTGATGGAATTCCAGTTGACCTATTTCAAATCCTAAAAGATAATGCTGTGAAAGTGCTGCATTCAGTATGACAGCAAATTTGGAAACCTAAGCAGTGACCACAAGACTGGAAAAGGTCAGTTTTCATTCCAATCCCAAAGAAAGGCAATGCCAAAGAATGTTCAAACTACCGCACAATTGCACTCATCTCACACGCTAGCAAAGTAATGCTCAAAATTCTCCAAGCCAGGCTTCAACAGTATGTGAACTGTGAACTTCCAGATGTTCAAGCTGGATTTAGAAAAGGCAGAAGAACCAGACATCAAATTGCCAACATCAGTTGGATCATAGAAAAAGCAAGAGAGTTCCAGAAAAACATCTACTTCTGCCTTATTGACTGTGCCAAAGCCTTTGATTGTATGGATCACAACAAATTGTGGGAAACTCCTAAAGAGATGGGAATACCAGACCACCTTACCTGCCTCCTGAGAAATCTGTTTGCAGGTCAAGAAGGAACAGTTAGAACTGGACATGGAACAACAGACTGGTTCCAAATTGGAAAAGGACTATGTCAAGGCTGTATATTGTCACCCTGCTTATTTAATTTATATGCAGAGTACATCATGCAAAACACCAGGCTAGATGAAACACTAGCTGGAATCAAGATTGCAAGGAGAAATATCAATAGCAGATGACACCACCGTTATGGTAGAAAGTGAAGAAGAACTAAAGAGCCTCTTGATGAAAGTGAAAGAGGAGAACGAAAAAGTTGGCTTAAAACTCAACATGCAAAAAACGAAGATCATGGCATCTAGTCCCATCACTTCATGGCAAATAGATGGGGAAACAATGGAAACAGTGACAGACTTTCTTTTCTTGGGCTCCAAAATCAAGGCAGATGGTGACTGCAGCCATGAAATTAAAAGACACTTGCTCCTTGGAAGAAAAGCTATGACCATCCTAGACAACATATTAAAAAGCAGAGACATTACTTTGCCACCAAAGGTCCATCTAGTCAAAGCTATGGTTTTTCCAATAGTCATGTATGGATGTGAGAGTTGGACTCTAAAGAAAGCTGAGTATCGAAGCATCGATGCTTTTGAACTGTGGTATTGGAGAAGACTCTTGAGAGTCCCTTGGACTGCAAGGAGATCCAACAGTCCATCCTAAAGGAAATCAACACTGAATATTCATTGTAAGGACTGACACTGAAGCTGAAACTCCAATACTTTGGCCACCTGATGGGAAGAACTGACTCATTGGAAAAGACTCTGATGCTGGAAAAGATTGAAGGCAGGAGGAAAAGGGGATGACAGAGGATGAGATGGCTGGATGGTACCACCAGCTCAATGGACATGAGTTTGAGCAAGCTTCTGGACTTGGTGATGGACAGGGAACCTCCATGAGGTTGCAAAGGGTCGGACACCACTGAGCAACTGAACTGAACTGATGTCAGCTTTATATATGTCATCTTTTGCAATTTTTACATAAGTTCTAAAATAGAGATGGCATTCTGTACATCCTAAAGATGAGAACACTAAGCCTCATAGGGGTTACATAACTTGCTAAGATCACACCTCTTTTTGAGCGGAGGAGCTAGGATCTCACAGTGGCTCTGCCTGATTTAAGCCTTTGCATGTTTTTAGGAAGCCTCTCTTATCTCTCTGCCCCAACTTGCAGCAATAAGGTCAGTCTGCCTCCTTTGGCAAAACTCCTTTTCTAGGCAGAGAGACTACATCTGCTACAGTCCACTGTCAATTAGGGAGGAGTCCAGCCCAGAATTCTGGAACTGAGACACAGCAGGCCACCAGCCATGGAAGGCCTTTGCCTGCCGACGCCATATGGATGGAGACTCTGAGCCAAGCAGTAAGGAAGAGAAAGGGGAGGGAAGCCGAGGTGGGGACTGCGGGAGTAGGGGGCAGGCACGGCAGATTCAGGAGGAGGACTTGGGCCATGGAGCCTGCACAAGCTAGACACGCCCATCGCCCGTGCCAGGCCCATCAGGTTCACCTCAGCTGTCTGACAGCTACCCTCTAATGATGCAAACAAAAGACTTCCTACAGGGAAGGTTTCAGTGTCATTAGCCAAGTCTCAGTGGAAATCAGAGAAGACGACCCGAGGAGGCTAGAGGCCCTGGTAGGAGCAGCCAGAGCCCACTGGCCCATCTCTGAGCGCCTGCCAACTGGGCTCATTGTGAGAACCCTGCTGCCAAGAGATAAGGAATGCCTGATCCAGCCCCTAGAAAGGCAGGGCTTGATATAGCAGCCTGAGTAGGCTGCGGGGGAATGTCCTGGCTGAAGGCCCTTCTCTAGCCCAGAGGAGAGTGGGTGGGTGGGAAGCAGGGAGTTTATAAATAATCCCATGTGTACTGATCTGCTCAGCAGCCTTGTCTTACTTAGCAAGGCCTGGGATCTCAGAAGGAGGGTCATTTATAGGTAATTTTAAGTTTTTTTATCCTTCTGTTTTCCAAGTTTTCTACAGTGAACTTGAACTCCTTTTATAGTCAGTAAACAATTTTAAGAAAGTGAAAAAGAGAAGCGCAAAAGAGGGACTTCCCTGGCGGTTCACTGGTTAAGATTCCATGCTCCCAAGGCAAGGGGCACGGGTTCGATCCTTAATCTGGGAACTAGGTCCCCAATGTCACACGGTGTGGCCAAAAAAGTAAAGTAAAATGCATAAAAATTTTTAAAGTAAAATATGATCAATTTTAAAAAAGAGAGAGATAAAAATAAATGAAAAAAATAAAATAAAATAAAATAAAATAAAAAAGAGAGAGGCACAAAAGGAAACCTTTCAGTTAGGAATCATCCCCCCTGCTCAGGAATGCCCCAGTCGTGGGCCAGTCCCCTCCTCATTTTCCGTCCCTCTCAGAGGAGCCTTCCTGTGTGCTGGCATTCACCTACATTGTAGGGAAGGACCAGTTTTCTCAGCTCCTATGTTCCTCAAGCTCTCCCTGCCCCCATTAGTTCAAGTGTCACAGTTCTTAGGTTTGATGTCATCAGATAAGGTATCCGTCCCCTCATCTTTGCTGGGGGGGAAGGAGGGTCACCCCCATATGTCTGTCCTGAGTGCTTCCAAACACTATCCTGGTAATGGGGAAAAAGGAATGGAGACCCTTGTAGAGAGTGTGTTTGGCATTCTTTGGCCCTCAGGCTCCTTGTCTGTAAGGTGAGGATAATAATAGCACCCGCCTCCTAGAGATGATATTAAGATGAAAATAAAACAGTGAATGTAAAGTGCCTGACACATTGAAAATGCCAAATTAAATATTTACTGATCATTGTGCCTCTTGCTCTACACCCAGCTGCCCCCTTGAATGACCACACCTACCAAATTTGGCCAAAATGACTCTCACTGTTTCCAAAAATAACTCCTCCCAGGAAGTGTGAGGATTCACCACCCAAAAACTCAAAGCAGGAATTCCACAAATGCTTTGAGAGGTGACAGGCTCCTTGCGATCCTTCAGAGAGCCTTATGAGGCACTCTTCTCGTTTGGATGTGTTTCAATGAAGGGCAGCTGGATAAACAGATAAATGAATAAACATGTTCCTTTGTAGTAACGACCTTATGTAGGCTGAGTTCAGCTTATGACTCTGGGGCAAGTTTTAGGAAATGAAAGTAGGTAGAATATCAATTGATTTCTATTTTTTGAGCAAGTGCTAGGTCCAAAAAGGCACTGTGCTAAGATTCCAAAATGGAACATTAAAAAAAGATTAAAATCTCTGCTCTGTGAGAGATTACAATCTAGTTGAGGAAGTAAACTGCAGATAAAGAAATAGAAAGCTTGCTCGGCAAAGTAGGATAGACCGATGAAGGTGATGGGGTAGAGAGTTTAGAAGAGAGTTTCCTCTGGGTTCTGGAGGTCAGAGCAGGCCTTGTGGAGGAAATAAATATCACTGATAAGTGGGCACCAGGCCTGGTACTATCCAATGCAATCAGGATAGTCTGAGAAAGAGTCTCAGGTGTTCAGGTCAGCAAGGGAAGGCCTGGTGCTCTTACAGGTGGATGTACACCATCTTCTTTGATCCTGACAAAAGCATTGTGTGGTGTTGTCATTCCCATTTTACAGATAAGCTCAGAGAGGTTAAGTTATATGCCTAAAGTCACACAGCAGAAGCAGAAGCCAAACCAAGTTCCACCGGCTCCAGAGTTCACGTTATTCTATCACCTGGCACTGAGAGACCGCCCTTAAATCTAGCTCCAAGAACAGCCCTAGGCTGTCTGTGACCAGTAATGGGGCTCTCATTCCATGGCTGTGGCCCTCTGGTAGAGAAGATGCTGCCCCGTGTGGCTGACAAATTCTTTGGGGATATATAGGCCTTATACTGCCTGCGAGTATCCTGGAATAAGATGCAATGATTTCTAAAGCCTAGATTGAAGTAAAAAATTTGACGTCTTATAGTTTTAAATATTTAAGCCCCTCCTTCTACTCTATCATATTTTTCCCAGTTCAGCAATATGTGCTTTCGGCATACGGCGGGCCTAACCCAGCTATTTGTCCAGGCCAGTCACCTGTCATAATCTTTTACTTCCCTCGTCCCTCAACCAGGCACGATTGAGGGATCCAGTCAACCACTCAGTCCTGACCTCCTATCCTGAATGCATCTGCAGTCCCTCTACTTTTTTTCATTCCCTCTGCCGTTCCTTGGTCTCGGCCACCATGTTCTCGTCTTGAATTTCTGCAGCAACCTACTAAATGGTTTCCCTGCTTCCAGACTTGCTCGCATTCACTCTCACTGCCATACCACAGTGCATAGTAAGAAATCTGGCCTCAGTGAGAGAGATCTGACCTTTGGCTGGGCTCCTGGAGTAACCTCCAAACTCTTGGAATTTCTGCATTGAGAGGAGTACCTTTGTTATTCAAGGTGGGACCCGCACTTATGCTAATGAGATGATTCAGTGTTGGGGCTGGCCTTGCAGAAGACCAACAGGACATGAATGATTGTGGCTGGGGCTTTGGGCCACAGGGTACCAGCCCCGCCACCAGGCAGGGGAGGGTGCCTGGAGATGAGTTTAACCATGTGGGTAATTATTAAATTAATCATGCCTGGATAATGAGGCCTCAGTAAAACTCTGGACACTGAAGTATAGATGAACTTCCTTAGTTGCAAGACTCATGTTTATTGTCACATAGAGATGCTGGGGAGGAAATGCATCCTAGGAATACAGACACTTACTGTTTGGAACCTTCTCAGGTTCCACCCTACTGTACTTTGATTTCAGTTTATATATTTTATGTATTTTTATCTGTTTGATTATAATAAAACGCCATTTCTAAGAATAACACTTTCTTAAATTCTATGAGTTGTTCTAGCAAATTATCAAATCTGAGGGTAGTCATGGGCACCCCTGAATTTATAGCTAGCTGCTCTGAAGAGAGGGTGATTGTGGGGACCCCCAAACTTGGGGCTGGTGTCTGAAGTGAGGGCAGGCTTGTGGGAAATGTGCCCTTAACCTTGAGTTAGGCTGACTCCTTGTACACAGCAAGAGGGGTTTTCTAAAATAGGACTGCGATCTTATCACACAACTGCCTAAAACACTCAAGTGATGTCTTACTCTCCCTAGGGTGAAGTCCAAATGCCTAAATTTGGCATCCAAGACCTGTGCTGATCCAGTGTTGCATAGGTCTCCAGTCTCACATCCTCCCAAACCCCTTCAAATTTGCCATTCCAGCCACACGGAGCCACAAGCCACTGTGGAGTGCTCCAGGTTCTCTCAGTTCTCCAGGTCTTAGGGCATGTAGCCACTCATCCCACAATATTCTCTCATCTCTATCTTTCTCCCACGCCACTTCTCTTGGCTGATTCCCACTATTCTGAGGTGTTGGCTTAGATGCCACCTCTTCTGGGAATCCTTTCCACGCACACTGCCTCAGGTCAGGACTGAGACCTCCTCTCAAGGCACTTAGAACGTGTATTGAAACAACCTGGTTACGTGGTCTGCACCTGCAACCAGACCATGAACTTTCTGCATATAAGGACATTTTCTCCTCCATTATATCCCTTGAATGCTAACATATAATTTTAAAGAGAGAAGTGATAACTTTGCTTAGAAGAAACCCAGTGGACACCAACAATTAGTGTTGAATGAATGAATGACAGCCTAGGTAGGTTTTGGAAGGCTCACCAGTCTCCTTGATGGAAATTTGGAAAGCACCCTGGTTGTAGCTGGTAGCCAATTACAAGTCATCTTTCAAGATGGTTCCACCCTACAAGTAGTTGTTCATTCATTTAGGCTGATTTTTATTGGTTTCAACCTCAGAGAATGAATTCTTTGTAACTTTGCAAAATTCTGAGATGCATCCCTGTTGTGAGGCATGTGCCCAACCATGAATTGTCACTTAGACATTCCTTTGATCCTATCATTGCTATTTTATATTTTCCACTCTACCCCACCTACAAGGTTCTACAGCATTTGTGAAGATGACAACAGTGCATTATACTTTAAACATAAATAATCAGATAACTTATTAAAACAATATTAATTATCAATTCATATCTGCATGGGCATCTATCTATACTTCCTTATTAATCAATATTTGATAAAGCACTTACTGGGTTAGATGAAATGGCATCTCCTTTTCCATCCTTTTTGCTTTTAATTAAAACAATATGCACAGCCTTCTTCTCTCTTTCCTCTCCCCTTTCCTTTCCCTTCCCTTCCTGATATGGAAGATCCGGTCCCCATGGGATACTGACAGGAAGAGGGCTGACATGTGGAGGTGCTTTGACGGTGTATCTGGTGCCCAGATACACAATGATGTGTCCAAATACAAAGGGTGCTGGAAGGTGGGGGCAGGGGTGGAAGTAAAAGGCACAGCTGGTGTGATTCAGAGAGTGGTTACATTAAGCAAATAAGAAAATTTATTGAACAATTAGGTACATATATTGAGAATAATGAGAGCCAAGTTGGAGAACAAAGTTGCAAATGTGGAGAGGGGATGATTTATAAAGAACCTTGAAGGTGGATTGGGATTTGGAGATATAAGTATCAGCTTACATTGTTTTAAAACATACAAACACAGGTAAATATAGAAATGTCTTCCCAGGCGGCACAGTGGTAAAGAATCTGCCTGCCAAGGCAGGAGACACGGGTTCAATCCCTGGTTTGGGAAGATGCTCTGGAGAAGGAAATGGCAACCCACTCCAGAATTCTTGCCTGGGAAATCCCATGGACAGAGAGGCCTGGCAGTCTACAGTCCATGCGATTGCAAAAGAGTCAGACACAACTTAGCAACTCAACAGCAAAAATGATTTAAGTGTATGCATATGCAGGTGTGTTCAAATGAATATATATATTTCCAAACTCTCTCCACTGAAAGGCCCTAGAAGCAATGACACCCCAGGAACAATAAACACACTAAATGCCCAGATCTTGATTTCTAAAAACCATCCTCCACCAAAAGAAAGCAGAGCTCCTTGAAGAAAGAGCTAATTCCAGCCTGCAGCAGAAAAAGTACAAGATGAACCTGGGACAAATTGTGCCAAAAAGTAAGAACGTGATGAGAATGAAGGAGACATGTCAGAAAGATGCAAGGACCATCCTGAAGGGACCACTTAAATATACACACAAACACAGAAAATGGGAAAGCTCTTATTAAAGTAGCCTGCCAACTAATGAAAGTGGAAGAAATGATGAAAATAGAAATTTGGCAACTGTCAGAGTGGTGTTTGCTTCCAGCAGGAAACATCAATGGAGCTAAGATTGATAGATGGAAGCTTATTAAAGAACAGGAATATCTCTCCTCAAAATGCCAAACAATATTAAAGGAAATGGTAACTTTACGTGGGAGAAAACTGACAGACACCAACATAGCTAGTGATCAAGATAAACATTGCCAAATGGGTAAAGGTAGTCAAGGGGCACTTTAAAAAATAAATAAATTTCACAAGTTGGGGAATTCCCTGGCAGTCCAGTAGTTACGACCCAGTGCTTCCACTGTAGGGGGCATGGGTTCGATCCCTGATCAGGGAACTAAGATCCTGCAAGCAGCAAATAAATAATAAA